CTACACGCTGCATGCTACACGCTGCATGCTACACGCTGCATGCTACACGCTGCATGCTACACGCTGCATGCTACATGCTGCATTTTACATTCTGCGTTCTACATGCTACATTACATGCTATATGCCACACTCTACATTCTATCTATGTATGAAATACAACACATAAGCTGACCTGGTGACCACTTCCCTTATCAGCCATCCTCGGTCTGGTGAGAACCGATGCTCTCGACTATGCGGCCAAGGGGATCCGGATCAACGCAGTTTGTCCAGGGTGAGTGTTGGATTATCTTGAGAGTCCTATGCCTGTCTAGCATCTTCTACACATCCTTCACACTAAGCCGGTCTTGCATCTTCTACACCTTTCCCACACTCGGCGGTCTTGCACCTCCATCCCTACCCAATCAAGACCCTCAATATTGAACCAACTTTGTCTGTCGCCTGTTCCCTGTCGCCTGTCGCCTGTCCCCATCTTTACAAGACTGGTTCTATATCCCTACAACCATCCAGCTGTGCCCTTTCAAACCCCCAATCCAATCTCATCCTATCGGACCTACAGAAACTAACTTGTCGGTGTCTTCTTTCCTCCAGATTCATCGATACGCCACTAGTAACCCCGCCTATCCGAAAGCTACTCGCCCCGTCCATCGAAAAGACCCCAATGGGCCGTCTGGCCTTCCCGCAAGAGGTCGCGGACACGGTCGTGTTCCTGTCAAGTGAGCGAGCCAGCTATATCACTGGCACCGTGCTGTCGGTAAGTCTGCTCTGCTCACACACTCACACTCTCACACTCTCACATTCTCACACTTTCATATAATACAGGTCGATGGTGGATATAATGCACAGTGATAAACCCGGGAAATCTCATGACATGCGTGGAGAATACGATACGAGGATACGATGGCTATCCTGGCTGAGATGGATCTATCACACGCCAGAAGTCTAGTCAGAAGCAGAAGCAGAAGCAGAAGCAGAAGCAGAAATATGTGCCTATTCAATCCAATCCATTCCATTCCATTCAGTGCAAAAGCTATCTCAGATGATCACACATCACACATCACCAATCACTATATAGGAGGGTTTAGCCTCGAGAAGAAAAGAAAATCCCAAATCACTCAAATATAAACCAACTGCAGTGGGCAATCCCCTCGCCATTCTTTTCTCCAAAAAGAGATTGACATGGGATGGCTGAGTGGATTGCATAAAATGACAAGTCATCATCTCCCAGAAATTCAAAGACACTTCAATCACCGGTGTTGAGAAGGAAAGAACAAAAGGAAAAGACCTCCATATTCACCAGGCAGTATTCGCAACACATGCCCCTGCGGATCATCTAGATTATCCAGCGTCGTCCATATGGATATCTCTGAGATATTAGCATGAAGCGTCACTGAGTGTGACAGTCGTTCCCACAAGGCAGGTGTTGGCCAAGGCGTAGGTCGCAATATTCTCCTCGATTTGCGCAACTGATACTGACGCAGTAAGTGGCGTAAGCCCATTATTTCCGTATGCTTGACAGGCCGCGCCCAAGGCATTGCACGAGTTGATCGCCTTTGCAATGACCTGATCGGAAGTGCATGGAAAAATCCCATTGGTGCAAGTACCAGATGTAATGCCGGCGTCTGCCATGCTCTCTAAGGCGCAGAACCCAACATTGACATTGCACTGTGGCGTTGTGATGACGGTAGGAGGGCAGGTAGCATCGGAGATTTCCAGTGTGAGGATATCGACCGATGTGCAGATCGAGTTGATCGGACCCAGTAAGCCGAGTTGTTCTTGTAATTCAGAAGTCGTCAAACTGAAACCATATGCCACATTGCCTGCATAACCGACGGAATTGACTCCTGGGAGGCCAATGAACGAATTCGCGAAAGCTGCCATTTGATCGTCTGTACATCCAAGCGCAGCGGGACAGGTCTGAGATTTCACCGTATACCCGACGATTAGTGCCGTACAGAACGGAACCTGAGAATCGCACTCGACTGCGGCAGTGGTGCTGGTCGCTGCTGCTGATGAGGTCGTTGTAGTGGTAGTAGACAAAGTAGTGGTGAGGCTCGAGCTGGTGACGGAGGTTGGGGTAGCAGTAGAAGATGTACTGGTTGTTGTAGTGCTAGTAGATAGAGTCGTGCTGATGCTCGAGCTTGTCGAGGCTGAGGTATCAGTAGATGTGGCAGCCGATGTAGTGCTAGTAGCGAGGGTCGTGCTGAGGCTCGAGCTTGTCGAGGTTGAGGTATCAGTAGATGTGG